AAAAAAAAAAAAAAAAATAGAACAACATTCAACATTCCAAAAATCATGAAAGAGAACATTCAACGTTTAAAAAATTTCTTAAAAATAACATTCAATCTTACTTTGTCCTATACTATTTATCTTTCTTTATCAATTTATTAACGTGATTTTTTATTTTTTATTTTTAAGAAAAAGAACTCACATTATATAATACCTTAATGATTTTAATTTTAAATCGGGACTAAATTGCCTAATAGCTTCAATTATTTCTAGATAAAGAACTCACGTCATATAATATCTTACTAGTTTTAATTTTAAATCGGGATCAAATTGCATGATAGCTTCAATCATTGGCCCGAAACTGTTGTAATTTACTACATTGAAAGGAATCCCAAAGCCATATACCCATCTTGCAATCCTAGAGCTTTTGCTTAATGTCTAGAGCTTTTTTTGATATGAAAATTGATGCTCAAAGCATGTGTTTGCATTTTATATTAAAGGAGTAGTAATTTTATATGGTTACACACACAAAGAATAAGGATTGAACAAAATTTAAATGAAGCGCATGAGACATGCACCTCGGACTGAAGCCTAAGGCGCGCCTCAAGCGCCTTGCCTCAAACTATTTGAAGCGTCTTATGTGCACCTTAGTGAGCCTCATGTCGAAGCGCACCTTTTAAAACACTGGTCAGAACAATGCTTGTATTTAGTTCAAATCCCTACTAGCAAGAAACTTCCAACATTCACTTTTTTATTTTGAAAGGCAAATTACCTACACCTCCCTTGAGATTTAACTAAATTACAGATTCTTCCAATGTTTTAGAAATTACATCCCGCCTCCTAAGGTTTATATTCGCATAATAATTTAACCCCTACCGTTAACTAAACATTAAGAATGGTTAGCTAACATCACCAAAAAATAAATTGATGGACGATATTGCCCCTGCTAAAATCCCTTTGATAAATCAACAAAATTTACAAAAGAATTATATTAGATGAAAAAAAAATTAAGTTTTTGAAACCATGTTTGATTTGTTGTTAAGAAAAAAAAAATTAGAATTTAAAAAAATAAAATAAAACTAATTTAATAAAAAAATATGAAAAAATATATTTAATTTGTAAAAATTATTTTTAACCACTCAAAAGATAAAATTATATAAAAATAATCATTATTTTTTATTTTTTATTTCTTAACCAAATTAATTTTAAATTTTTTTTAAAAAAAAATAAAATAAATTTCTAAAAATCAAACCAAACATATTCTAAGAATTTTTTGACAAGCCATTTCTTGTGTTTTTAACTTATTTAATAATTTGTTAATTTTATGATATTTTTATCATTTGACACTACAACATATAAGAGTTTTAAAGACCAATTTTTTTGATCTCTAAAAGTGAAAATTTTGTTGCAAAAGACATTTAGAGACTAATTTCTATCGTTGTGAGAATAGTCGCTAGAAGATCATCTTAAAAAGTAAAAAATAGGGCTTTTAGCTATAAAATTTCAAAAATTTCAATAATAAATAGACTTTTAGGGACAAAATAATATGGTCTCAAAATTGTTTATTTTTTTTAGACAAAAAATTTGATACCAAAAAGATAATAATTAATCACTAATATTCAATTTTCGTTGCTAAGAATATAATGACACTTTTCGCAACAAAAATATCTGTCCCCTAAAAATAATTGTTCCTGAATTTTGGTCCTAAAACCTTAATTTTTGTAGCATTTTCTCCATTTTAATTTTGCATTTCATAACTTATTTAAAAATGATAATTTAGCTAAACCTCAGGGGGGAATATGTAATTTAGCTAAACTTCAGGGGAAATCTGTAATTTAGCTAATCCTCAAGGGGGTGTAGGTAATTTGCCCTTATTTGTCAAAAGGGCATTTTTGTCAATTTATGATATCCCGTTAACGGCGTTAATTGGGATGGGACGGGATGCAATTTTTGAAACCTTAGAGGGAATCTGTAATTTTGTTAAATTTCAAGGAAGGTGTTAGTAATTGCCCTTGAATACATCACCAACTTGAAATCTCCAAAAAGACGAGATAATTATTCTTAAACGAGATCGAATAAGTGCTTTATGGTAAAAGGTCAAATTTCGTGAATGTCAAATATTCCAAATCTTAGAGCCATTGGAGGTGTGCTCAATCATTAACTTTAAGGTCTTAGAATTAGTTAAAATACACGTAAGCTACTACAAACACCCATGTCACGACCCGAACCTGCCCCTATGGGTTAAGGCCATAACCGGCCAGTAATCACGAGATTACCTACGGCCTCAAACCAAATAAGACAAAACTCATCAAAGTAAAGGGGCCAAACAGAAGCAATTTAAAACTTTGTCCATAGAGCCGTGCTTATATGCACACCATAACATTCCAAATATTTATATGTTAATAACTCACGTCAAATATGTACCAACACAAAACACTGTACATACAGGATCATACAAGTTTAAGTCAGTTGAACCCAAGACTTATATACAAAAAAAGTCCAATGCTTTCGCCAACATAACAAAACTATGAACAAAGGACAAAGGCGAAGACAGTCTCGTGCGTGAGACGTTTGGGCTGACTCCTCAAAACTTTGACTATTTCTCACAATTTCAACGAGGCTGGTTCTGGACGTCTCTTGGCTCACCAACATGTACATGAATGAGCGTGATCGAAAGCCCAGTGAATAATATCAAATAAGGTAGATACATAAGTAATCTTTGAAACAGTTACAGCAGACGGCCTTTGGTCCAATCACTTGGATCAATCGACCTTCGACCCAATCATTTATATCAATCGGCCTTCGGCCCAATCATTCATGTCCATCGGCCTTTGGCCCAATCGTTCATATCAATTGGCCTTCGGCCCAATCATTCATGTCAATCGGACTTCGGCCCAATCATTCATGTCAATCGTTGTCCACCATTCAAATTAATGAACTTACAAAACTTACATAGAAGTAAACAATTGGACAACAGTATATTTCAAATATCTTGTTAAGATATTACTCACAATGATCGGCTTGTGGATTTGCCCTGGAGCTTGACCCTACATATAGCGATCCCAGTTGTCCCTTTACTGTTCTGTTGTATTCCGAACTCGGTTCCGTGATATTGGTGGTGGTATACCTTGTTGTCATCCTTTAATTCCACTTGATTGAGTTTTAGGATGTATTGGCCAGAGTTGTTATAGGTTGGTTAGGCTTTGGTTTCAATTCTTTGTTGCCCAGCTTTTAGGAGGGCCGTTCGAGCCGGTCTTCTTGCGCTCGAGCGGAGATTGCACGCTCCCAGTTTTTCGTGTCCCTGCAAAACTTCTGCAGGTGTGATTTTTACGCTCTAGTGGGTTTCTTTACGCTCGAGCGGTGGCGCTCGAGCGGGTACTTTGGCGCTCGAGCGGGTAACACCTTTGGGTGTAAGTTCTGGAAGGGAGAAATCTACGCTCGAGCGGACTGGTTTTCGCGCTTGAGCGGATGTACTTTATTCTTGTGTCTTGGCACTCGAACGGGTCTTATTGCGCTCGAGCGGACCTAGTTTTTTGTTCTTGACGCTCGAGCGTTGTGTTCTCCGCTCGAGCGGGAATGTTGTATATCAATTGGCAGCTGGGCATTTTAAAATCACTTTTTACATTCTCTCTCTCTCTCTTACTTTCTAAAAAGACATTTTGAGAGTTTCTCTCTCTAGAAATTCCCTTCTCTCTAGGGTTTGATCTAGTTAGAGTGTTTTCTTTTCCTTCGGCCATTGTAAAAGTTGGGTTGATCGTCGAGGGCTACACATTGATCCGAGAGTATTGAGTTTTGGAGCACGTTGAGTTTCTTCACCTCCTTTCCTTGAGCTCCGAATTTGAGGTAGGGATTCCTACTCACTCTTATGGTCTTTGACATAGATTTTGGTTGTTTTGATAAAGTGTTGAAGTTAGGTAATTTTGGGACTTAGGGTTTCAAAATGTTGAAAGAGGGTTTTGTGATTTTAGGCTCATAATATGTATTTTGGGTTTCAAA